ACCTTGTTGCCAAAATATTCGGAGGATGGAGCAACTCCTTGGCTGCGCCTCCCCGTCTGGGTCACCCTCGCATGCGCTGGGGGCTGCAAACGGACCCGCCAGGGAAGGAGCCCTCCCTTCGAACGGACCCAAGCCAGCACCGACCTCCCCAAAGCACTGCCCGGCCACCAGCCGGGCTCCTGAGCATCCTGCATGCTCCCCGGCGGCCCCCCCGAAATTGGTGGTGCCTGCAAACATGGACCCTGAGGGCTCTTGGGGAGGGGATGGATTTCTTTGGAAGGTGGCTTTTGGTCAAATGGGGCGGGGGGGGGGAATGGAGAGGGGGTTGATAAAGTGCCGGCATGGCGTGGGTTTTCTCCGCATGGGGGGTTTTTTCTGGGGTTTCGGAGGATTTTGGTGTGCTGCGCCGGGGCTGAGACGTTTCCCGTGGGAATGGGAAAAGGGAGACCTTAACGGCAGCAGAAGCAGTCGTGGTTACGCGGGGCTTTTCCTCCCATCCTTCCGCAAGCCGCGCACGTCTCTGCCCTCGCTCCGCTGGCTGCAGGGGGTGCCTGCACCCAACGAGTGGTTTCTCAGCCTCTTGGGTGCGAGGTTGGACCCAGGCTGAGCGCCAGCCCCCAAAGGGTCCCAACACGATCGGGGCCCGCTTTTCCCGGAACCCTCAGGGCCGCTCCCAAGAGCACAGCAAGTTCCTGCTCCTTCAATGCACATCTCCCACCGGCGGGGGGGTTATTTTTGTTACAGACCCTAGTCCTGGAGCCACGCTTTGGCTTGCTCGGCCCAAAGCTCACTCGTTTGATCCGACCTCTGGGTGCAGAGAGGAACGCCTTGGCCCCGTGGCCCAAGGCAGACAGGAGACACCCCTAATTTTATCATTTTTAAGCCCAACTCCTGTTTCAGGGAGAAGGGAGGGGAAAAACGTGCTGTTTGGATCCTGTGGGCTCCTGGCCCAAGCAAGGGCCAACCCTGGGTAAGGTTTGGTGTGGGGTTTTTTTTTTGTGGGGGGGTGGGGGGGAGCCTATTTTCTGGAGGGTGACAGACAGAGGGCTGTGATGCAGCTCCCCCGTGGCATGGGCTGGTGGGCAGAGGATGCCCTGGGGACCCATCCCTCACCCGTGCGGGAGCCTCGGCTTTCCTCTGCCTGCGGAATGCTGGCGGAGAGCCAGGCAGGGAAATCTGGGGGCGTTTGGGGCTCTTTGCCAGAAAGCGGGAGCCACGGGGTGAGCATGGTCAGGGATGTGGTTGCTGGAATGATTTGAGCAGGGGGCGAAAAAAAAAGTGTGAATGAAGCCTGGTTAAAGGTAACACCATGGTGGTACCCTGAGCTGCCAGCAATTTTCCTTTCTGCTCGTCTGTCTGCTCTGCCTGACCTTCGTTTTGGGACGAGGCTGCGACGTCTCCGTCGCGTCTTTCCCCCGCAGCAGCCCCCCACAGGCACTGCTCTGGCTCCCTGTATGCCCAGCACCTCTTGCCAACGCACAGATTTTCTTCTCCCACACTCCATCTCTTCCTCCTCCCCACCTTTCCCTCCAGGAGCCCCGACTGACGTCCCATCTGCTGCTGCGCGAGCCGCTGCCATCCCTCGGCGGGCTGACGCACAGCCGGCCCCGGGGACCGAGGCGTGAGCCAAGGTGACGCTCGGAGCCGAGGTAGGTGCAGGCAGGCCAGGTTTGCCCGGGACTGGGGCTGCAAATGGAGTTGCTGGTTTGGTTTTTTTTTTTTTAATGTAAGGATGAGGTTTATTGAAGGATGAGGAAGGTTTTTTTCGGAAGGTGTCCACAGCCAGTACTAACAGGCGCTGAGGTTTGGGGGGAAATGTCCTTATTAGCCACCTCACCTGGCATTTGGGAAGAGAGACAGCCAGAGAAATGCCCAGCTATCTTGCAGCCCTTGCAGCCCAGCTCTGCCTGCTCTGGAGGGAGCAGGGACGGGGACTTTGGGTCTTGCTGGCTGCCGTGTGGACATGCCAGTCCACTCCAACCCCTTGCCGTGCTGGGAGGATTGCTGGGCTGGGAAAAGGGAGCTGGAGGCATCCCTTTTCCTAGTCATCCTCCCTGGAGGAGAAGGTCACCCGGGGTTCTCGGTTCCTCCCACGCTTCTGCTCACAGACATTTATCTTTTTACTGTAGCAGGGAGCAATGTCACAGCAGCAGCTGATTGCTTTGGGTGTTTTAATACCCGTCCTTACTGGCGCCCCACAGCCCCTCTGTGAACATCCATCACTGTGTCAATAAGGATAACCAGGACAAATAAAGCTGCTCTCCGTCCTCTGCCTCAGCTCTGTGGTTTAGGGAGGCCCAGCGAGTGTTTATTCAGGCACACTGGCTCCAAGCTGTCTATCCCCCCCCTCCCCCAAAATGAGCGCTCCCATTTTCCTCGGGGGCTCAGCGTGGCCCTGTAGCTCCAAGAGCAGCTCTGGTTTTACGTAGTCTGACCTGTGACTTCAGGGTTAAGAAAGAAGTCTCCCCATCCCTCATTTCTCCTTGTCCTTCTTCTTGCTCTTCCTCTGGCTGGTCAGTTCGCTGAGCTTCTTGTCGAGGCGCCGCTGGAGATGGGCTCTCTTGGCCGGGTCCAGGGACTTTTCTTTGGCGCCGCTCCCAGGGTAGAGAACCCCTTCTCTGCTGATCCTCTGCCGCGCGTGGGCCTTGGCCTTCTCCCCACAGCCGTGAACCTGGCGGAGAGAGACCGGTCACCGGGGGCAGCCGGGAAACAGGGCGGCCGTCACGTACAGGGGAATCAGGTGGTTTGATTCCCAGAGCTTGGAACTCCTCTTCCACCCGCTTTGTGCTCCCCTAAAACCACCTCCCATTTATTTACAGCTCACAGAATCCCAGAATGGCAAGGGTTGGAAGGGACCTCGGGAGATCACCCAGTCCAACCCCCCTGCTCAAGCAGGCTCTCCTAGAGCATTCTACACAGGACTTCATCCAGGCGGGCCTTGAATATCTCCAGAGAAGGAGACTCCACAACCTCCCTGGGCAGCCTGTTCCAGTGCTCTGTCACCCTTAGAGTAAAGAAGTTTTTCCTCATATTCAGCTGAAACCTCTTATGTTTCAGTTTGCACCCGTTGCCCCTAGTCCTGTTGCTGGGCACCACTGCAAACAGACTGCTTCCATCCTCGTGACTTCCGCCCTTAAGATATTTGTATGTGTTGATAAGGTCCCCTCTCAGTCTTCTCTTCTCCAGGCTGAACAAGCCCAACTCTCTCAGCCTTTCCTCGTAGGAGAGATGCTCCAGTCCCCCCATCATCCGAGTTGCCCTCCTCTGGACTCTCTCTAGTTCCTCTAACAGGAAACAAAACACGAAGGTCATTTTTCTCCCTCTGGAATCTACGGAGCAGGTAAATCATCCTTTTGCTTGGTTTAAGTGTCTCCTCCCAAAGCTTTGAACACCTGGGGGAAGCTCACACACGTCTTGGGTCGTTTGTGGTTCTGGCACGAGAGCTGGAGGTAAATCTGAGCTCCCGAGGATGTTCTCTGCTAATAGAGTGTGACCTGGGGGGAAAAGGCGTGCCTTGGGAAAGAAGACGAAACCTTTTTAGCCATACATCTACTTCTTTGGTGTAATTAGATCTGCCTTCCGTATTGGAATCAAAAAAGCTTCATCGTGCTAATTCCACGCAGGCAAACCTTTTCCAAAACCCATCTGTGCTGAAGCCTAGGCCACGTTTAAGGTGCATTAAGCCATGTTTAGCACCTGACTATTAAACATTAAGCCATGTTTAGCCTGACTCACCTCCACCAGGTCTAAATTAGAGATCATAGAATCATAGAATGTTTTGGGTTGGAAGGGACCCCTAGAGGTCACCCAGCCCAACCCCCCCGCAGGAGCAGGGACACCTTGAACCACATCAGGTTGCTCACAGCCCCGGCCAACCTGGTCTTGAATGTTCCCAGGGATGGGGCCTCCACCCCCTCTCTGGGCAACCCCTGCCAGGGTTTCACCACCCTCATTGGAAAGAATTTCTTCCTTAGATCGAGTCTAAACCTCCCCTGCTTCAGTTTAAAGCCATCCCCCCTTGTCCTGTCACAGCTGGCCCTGCTGAAAAGCTTGTCCCCCCCTTTCCTCTGGGCCCCCTTTAAGCCCTGAACGGCCGCACTCAGCTCTGCCCGCAGCCTTCTCTTCTCCAGGCTGAACAACCCCAACTCTCCCAGCCTGGCCTCCTAGCAGAGGGGCTCCA